GGTATAATCATATATATTATAAATAATCATAATATAATTTAGAAATAGGAAACTTAATTTCCTGTAAAGCTGCTTTGCAATGATTTGTATTGTGAAAAGCGCTATACAAATAAACTTGAATTGAATTAATTTTGAGTAATTTTGTTAATGCTATATAACATGGTATAAAATCAAATCAATTATATTGAAATGTTCTGCATTTTAATTATTCTTTTGCCTTGCGAGATCTTAGTATAAACTTCAGTGTGATGGGAACCTTCGGCTGAAACATAGCATTCAGCTCTAGAGGGATCTGAAAACAGGAGAAAATAAAGAATATGCATTTATAACTTCCCGTTTAATTAAGAGGCAAAACATAGTCAGCTTCACGTAACTAATGTATACATTCTGATGAAATGATGTACCAACCTGTGTCTCTTTACATGTTTCTATGCTGAAGTTCTGAAGCAGCTTCACAACAAGAAGCTTCATGATCATTTGGGCGAATCTCATTCCAATGCAATTTCGAGGCCCGAGTCCAAAAGGCATGAAAATATACTGGTTAATCTCTGACTTACTCTCTGGGCTGAACCTGTAAAAAATATAAAGTTTAGCAATTTTTGTTCCATTAAACTGTCTCAAACATTTTAATTTACATGCTATATAGTATGAGAGAAAAACTAAAGTGAGAAAAATTGTGGCTGTGCAGGAAATGCTCAGAAAGCATTAGTGTCTGATAGATGAATCACATCACCTCTCTGGTCTGAACTCATCAGGCGACTCCCAGAGTTGCGGATCACGACACAAGACATATGTTGGAATTCCAACCAGTGTGTCCTTTGGTATGGTCACCCCATTGAGCTCCACGGTCTTCTTACAGACCCTTTCTAAGCGTGGTGTAGTGGGAAGGAGACGCATTGATTCGTTGATGGCCATTTCCAAGTAATCTATTTTCATCAATGCATCATATGTGATGGGAGTCTAAATAAACCACAAAAAAACAAGACATACCCAATGCATATTTCAGCTTTGTTTTAAACCTAATTCCTGTTCCTTAAGTAAAACAACTGAACCCTAAAATCCAAAACTGCCTTTAAGGAATAATTTGTCAAAAAAAAAAGAACATTTACTCAGGACATCAAGATGTAGATGATTTTATTTCTTCATCAGAACAGATTTTGAGAAATTTTGCACTGCATCACTTGCTCACCATTGAGAGTCCAAACAGCTGATAAAAACATCACAATAATCCACACGACTCCAGTTCATCAATTAATGTCTTATAAAGTGAAATGCCATGTTGTTAAGAAACACATTCACCATTAAACTAATTAAACACACTCAACTTTAAACCATTCCCTCTGGTCAAATTACTCCATAATCCATAATAAAGCTTCCTACAGTGAAAAAGTCCATCCCCTGTTGTTCTCTCACATCAAAATCCAACCAACATATTGGTTTAAAACAGTTTTGTTGACTCTTGTAAATGGTGCTTGATCTGTGCATAACTGTCTTCATTCAGATGAGACACTGGAAAAAGCAAAATCATTGACAGAGGACTTGTATTTTAGCTGGAAGTAACAGTTTGAATTTAAAAACATCTTAATCATGGATTTGTTTCTTAGAAACACACAGCTTTTTACTTCACAAGACATAATTGATGGACTGAAGTTATGTGGATAATTGTGTTTTTATCAACTGTTTGGACTCTCATTCTGACGGCACCCATTCACTGCAGAAGATCCATTGGTGAGCAAATGATGTAATGCTACATTTCTCCAAATCTGTTCTGATGAAGAATCAAACTCATCTACATCTTGGATGGCCTGATTTTTGGGTGAACTATTCCTTTAAGCTAGATTCTCTAGACAAAAACTATGAACAAAGCAGAAGCCGTTGTTCTCACATCAGGAGGGAAGTTTGTGTCAATCTCCTCAAGCAGCTTTTCCAGGCAGTCTGGATTAGTTGCAAGATTATAGAGGAGGTAAGTGAGAGTGGTGCTTGTCGTCTCATAACCTCCGAGAATGAAAACGAGGGACTGGGAGAGAATCTCGTGGTCTGTTAGTCCTATCAAATTCACAAAACTGCATATTTGAATACAAGTCCCATTTGAAATGATAGAGTCTATAATGTGTAAATTCTGTACTGTCTCTCTAACCTTTTGCTGGTTGCTCATCTGTGTCCTCAAAATGATCACCAGGTATTTGATTCTGGAGCATGAGCTGGAGAAAGTCTACCCGACCCTGATTAAAAACACAAAGTCATTTCTGGTTCTTTAAAAGAGTGGCTCTAACAAGTTTTTGGACAATTAAGCCATGCATAAGCTTAAGAGTGAAATAACATACATTTGATTCCTTGTTGTGCTCGTCCTTAATCTTTTTCAGGACATTATAGAAAAATTCCATAGATGACCTTGAAAAAAGACTTATCCCCATTTTCCCCAAAAGATTTGCAACGGAGGGAAATAAAGCTGAAAAAAAAAAAAAAGAAATTTAGATCTCAAAACAGTATTTATATATTCATGTAAAGAGCTGTAAAACTAATATACAGTATAATGCAATTTTTTAAATGATAAAAATGACATACCTAAAATCAGAAAGAGAGGACTGAACAGACTGAACTTGAAAAACTTCTTGATGTTGGTAACAAAAGGATCATCTGCGTTGTTTATGGAGTCGATGTCGACGCTAAAGGATGAGCTGGTGACCACATCCAAACTGTACGGAGCCACAACTCTGGAATAAAAACAGTGTTTGTTTCTTATTAGATATAGTATATAGTGATCATTTACATATCATTACTTTCTAACAAAGCCAATGTCATCTAAAATAATCATAATTAATATTATTAACTTTATCAATAAATTAAATTCATTTTATGTGGTTTTATACAAAGAAATGAACTGCAGTAAATGCATTAGTAAAGTTCATGATTGACTATGAATGCTTTTATGTATTATTTAAAGACAGATGTCACACATACTCTTTTACTTTAACTGGCTGCTCGTCTTTCTTTTGCATATTTTTAATAAAACGATCTGCATGTGTCACAGCTATGGGAAATATCTGAAACATATTTAGAAATAAGTGTTAGTTACATATGTGTCAGAGAGAGCAACAAGTAGAGCATGAAATAATATAAATCTAAATATTATATAAAAGTATATAATAAAATACGTTTTTTTGCGACAAAAACTTCTATATAGAAGTGGAGAATACGGAGATGCCAATGTCTGCTCATGTTAAAGGGACATTTCACTCTAAATTTGTTCCATATCTGTTTAACAACTTTATAATATCTTTTACAAAGAATAAAGAAAGTCATTCATATTTTAAACAACATGAGAGATGACAGAATTTTTATGATTGGGTGAACTATCACTTTAAGGTTTACACCTCCTTCAGTCGACCACTTGTGAAATATGGAGAGAGTGAACTGCGGATTCTCTTCCATCTCTCATCTTTAACTACAGTTATTCCATCAGCAAAGGGGCCAGCAAGGTCTGCATTTGTTTCCTGTACAAATTCCAAAAAGATGATGTTTACTGGGGCGTAAAGAAATCCTCAGCTTCCCGTCATTATCACACTTTCTGTACAACTTTGAAGGTGAGCTTACCCTTCTGTTAGTGAAGGTTGAATAACATTCTTTCACCATAATCGCTTTGATCATTTCCAGGTCAGTAACCATTAATATTGGGAGCCTTCCATCATAGATCCTGAGCAATGAAAGGAATATTGATCAGTTTGCAGTCACAGTGATTCAGCCAAATACCTACACTACCATTCAAAAGTTTGGGGTCAGTAAATTTTTTTATTAATACTTCTACTTAAGGATGCATTCAACAGATCAAAATTTACATAAAATACATGTATAATGTTACAAAAGATTTCTGTAGTGAATAAATGCTGTTCTTTTGAGCTTTCAGTTTAAAGAATCCTGACAAAAAGTATAACAAATATTCAGCAGAACAACTGTTTTCAACGTTGCTGATTTGCAAAATCAGTATATCAGAATGATTTCTGAAGAATCATGTGACACTGAAGACTGGAGTAATGATGCTGAAAATTCAGCTTTACCATCACAGTAATTAATTACATTTTAAAATATATTAACATAGAAAGCAGGTATTTAAAATATAATATTTCACAATATAATAATATTTCACAATCTTACTGTTTTTACTGTAAAATAAATGCATCCTTGGTGAGCATAAAGACTTCATTTACATAAAATAAAAATAATAAAATAAAATAAAATCCTCAGACTTTTGAATGATCTGTTGTGATCCACTAATAAAGCACCCAGTTAGGAAATACTTTTAAACAGACAATAAACCTGACTTAATTAAGCATAACATCATATTTAATGTAAATGTATGACTGAGACTCACCCCCAAACTTTTCCATACTTCTTAGCACACTCCATATCGAAATTGAAAAAACCCTAAAATACATTTGCATATAGACATAGAAGAAAGAAGGATAAAAAGAGTCTTATTGCTCCAGCATCATTGGAATGCGCTGCCCAATATTATTCTACAGGAGTTACATAATTACTCACTTTAGTGTATGAGAGAAATGTGCCAAAGAAAGGCCAAGGCCTTGGTCCTGGAATTCCCAGTTTCTTAAAAAATCCATGTGGCCAAACACCATAACTTCAGTGGGATCGATAACACAGAGATATTAGGCTACATAACCACATGAAAGCCATTAGATATAGATATAGATTTTACGAACTGTACAGTGTGATGACGTACACAAATACAAGACAATACTATTTAATTTTTTTTATTAAAAACAGATACAGATGCTGAACTAAAAGCTTTAACACATTATAACAATATAACGCAACAGAATACTGCATAGCCGAATAATATTTTCTTTAACCTGTTGTGTAATACTCACATATACAGAAGTGTTAGGACCAGAAGCACCAGGGTCCAGGTCACAGACAGAGCTGGGAGATCAATCATTGTAAGTCAGCTGTCAGCCTTGCGCTGTATTCTTCAGTTGAAGTTCTACTGCACACTGATGGCTGTGTCTCTATTTATGTTCATCAGACGGCTCATGATCCGGAAGAGGGCGTGGTTTGCAGGTGAGCACGACGACCAAATAAGGCAACACGTGACAGGTTATTACAGTTTTAACATTTGACATTTTTACGTGTCGAGTTATAGGCGTTAACTGCACTAAGCAGCAGAGGTTACATAAGTCTTCAGTTGTCTTTATTAGGAAACGTACATAAAAACGACGAAAGACACAAACAACCGAAACCAAGTGTCAAATAAAGTAGCACATCGATTTTACTCACCTTAGAAGACAGTAAAGCCCTGCGACTTTATAAAACACACTTCCTCTGTGTTCTGTTGCACAATTAAAAACATTAGGTGTCCTTTCATTGCATTTTAACAGTTCATAGTGACACCCATTGGACAAAAAGTGTAACTGAGTTCAGTCTTATTTTATATATAGGCTATATATACGTATATAATATACACATGTATAGCATTTATGATTACATGATTTTATAACCTGCGAATGGATGCTTAATATGTTCCAGTGCCGATTAAAAAATGTGTGTTGCCGTGTCAAATGGTATGAATGCCGATCAGAAAATCTATTTTTTTTATTTTAATTATACAAAAGTAATTAATACTGATGCTAGTTTTGTTTCAATTGGCATGTCCAGTAACATTATATATATTTTTAATAGCTTGTTGGGTGAACACAAAACCACATTAGTTAACATTCAGACCAGAGAAAATGATTTCAAGAATGCAGATTTTATCTGAAAGGATGAACAGTGATTTTAGGATAATGATGTTGCTCATACATGTCAGGTCAGTCCAAGTTGTCATTTGTATACATACTTTTTTAACACTGATGATGATGATTACGTTGCACAACATTTATTGTTGTTTTGCTTTGTTACCTTTACATTTATCTGTTTCATGAATTGTTACAGTTTAGTTTAAATTGTGCTGAAAAAGGTAATTTTGTGTAAATTATACTTCACACCTTTTTTTTCAAATGGTTGCAACAACAAAAAACTGTCTATAGATTCCCCAACATTCAGCCAACAGGCATGACAGAGATACAAAATACAGCTAGTCTATTCTGTGATAAAAGTGATGATTTGATTAAATGCTTTCCCAAATCTGTGTGAAACTTATTTTTTTCTGTCATGATTTATCGTGCATGTTGACGTATTATCAGGATGACATTGTTGTTGGAGGCATTTAACTGAACAACAAACATTTAATTTATCATAAAAAAATCTTTACTTCATGAACGCCCATGACATACACTTGTGCTAAAACAGTTGGTCGGATTGAAACAAACATTTCCATAACAGTACACTCTTGTTTGATTACTGTACTTCTTGTGTTGGCATTTTCAAGAACTGCAAAAATTCATACTTCTTGTGAAAGAACAACGGAACTACTTTACGTCACTTCTGAAGAACACTACAGTGAACAACAAAATTCATACAAATTCATTCTAAAATCGCACTGTAAAATTACACTTTTTACAAGCCTGTAAAAAAGCAAATATTCCATCAAAAGAAGGAAACTGAAATGTTTATGGCTCAAAAGTGCAGAACATATGTGCGAAGCAACCGCATACTGATCTCCTCACATACAATTCATACAATCGTTCATTAAATAATTTCAAGTGAGTGTTTGCAGTTCCTAAGCGAGGCCAAACAGACAGGAACAAAACAAGAAGAGTAAAAGCCAAATAAAAACAACAACAACTATGAACTTGTTGATATGTGTGAGAATGAGCAATGGCACAAATCACAACACATCTGGCACTGTCTCACCGTCTGATTACACAGAGGCAGGGAACCAGAGCTGTCTGGCTTCTTCTAACAGCCTCCGTAGGTTTTCTTGCTGGTGAGTCTATAGAGAATATACTGAAAACAACCGTGCTTCATTATCCAGGCCGCGTGAACGCGAATCAAATCCATTAGAGAAGATTTACATTTCATGACCTTTACGATCTCGAGTGCAACATGTATATATAGCGACACTGACAGTGAGATGAGATTATTCAGACAAGAGTATACAGTAATTACAGCGTGTTTTTCACTTAGCTTTTTCCTCAAGTTCTTTTCAATGTGGTAAGGGCAGGAATGTTAAGTGTGAATATATGCCGCTCTTTAGAGCGAGAATGTCTCGTCACATGTACAGGCGTTTTCTGTTGCGTCCTGCTCATTAAAACCAGACATTTATGCATCTTTCACAACCAAGGCTGCAAACAGGAGGGGCACGTACATTAACAGTAACTCTGATTAGTCTTCTGTATTGGCATATAAAAATCATTTCTTCTCCCCTTCTCTTAATAATGATCTTGATCATTAATCGAGTACATTCCGGATCCAGCAACTCGATGAGCGGTCACATGTGATGTCTCTTGTAGTGCTCGTGGTGATAGTACTGTGCGAAACCAGAGAATTTCCTCTGCAACTATGTTGTCCGAGCCGCAAAGAGGGGTCCGGGTCCTCTTGTATGTCACACGAACGAGGAGAAGCCTGTGACGGGCGTCCGTGAGCCTGGCGCGGGCTGGCCGGTAGGGGTGTAGACCCCGCCAACGCTGTGCTGCGTGACCACTGTCTGATAGTAGGACTCGGTGTCCCCGCTGGCACATTCATCATAGGAACAGGCCAGCGTTTGCTTCAGCCCCTTCTGCTGCCGCTTCCACGAGTTGAAGTATGACGGGTCGCTCATGTAGTGATTCACGAACGAGTGTTTGATCGGCTCCTCTTCGCACTCGCTGTCTGTGGCCTGATCATGGAAATATGAGAGTGGAAATCACACACTTGGAAGATTTATGTTTGCGATATCTTGTATGCAAGAGATAATGGAAAGTCAGCTGGTCGAAGAAAACCCCAATTGACCCTTCGTAAAAACCTGCCCTCATTCGTTAATGTTGCTATGTCCGACAAGCCATGCTGCTCTCACACCACACATCATGTTCTCATGTAGTGAAAAATACATTGCGAAATGGACAAGACAGAGCAGGTTACTATAAGTATGAAGCAAAGTCTCAGCTTTTTTTTAAAGAAATTTAAACAATAAATACCGTTTTGTGGCTCTTTAAAGTGTCGTGACAGATCACTGTAGTGCCTTAGTTCAAGCAGCACATGAACAGATCATCTCTTCCTCTTTACTAGTTATATCGCGTAATAAACATGAATGAACACCAGAAGGTATCTTGTTTCAACTGTGGAAAGACATCAATACACACCACTTTTCAAGTTCAAATCCACCAACGTTAATCTACTCTCCAGTCTGGTTTGGCAGATTTGGCGTTATGACTGGTCAGATCGCCTGTCAATCAAACTCTCTGCAAAGGGTTAATGGGTAGATATGCATCACTCCACCTCAGACTCTGACATCTCTGCAGGCCTCTCTGTCAGCGCGGTGCTCTCCGTGGAAACCACGCCGTTGTAGTTGCTACAGATGTCTTCGTCGGAATAGCGCAGTCCGGCTGGATTGGGTCGGGGAGGGGACCTGCTTGGAGACAAAAGGAAGTGGTAAGGGCGTATGTGACGTAAGCCAATTATAAACTTGCTCTGTTGTGCGTCTTGAGGAACATAATCTCTTTGTTTGCCTACCTCCCTTTATCCTAACCCTAAGTGATACTGTAGCAACTTAAAGTGCATAGGCTTGGCAAAATTTTGGAGACAAAATGTTTCAATGTATAAAGCACAGCTCACTCTTAAGTCACTTTCAAACCAAACAGCCTTCTGTTGGCCAATCTGGCAAATTCGTTGAACCTGTTGCGAAATCTGTGTGGGGAACATGAAATTCCCAATCATGTGGATTCCTATCGAAATGACTATTTCAACACATTTACTGACTGCTTAAACTGGTAAGATTGCTTTTATGAAATACCACAAAAATATCAAAACCGTATTGTGAATTCATCAGATGACGGCGCATATATAAGCTGTGTGGTTACAGTACCTGGTGCCATTCTTCCTCAAGAAGACACCCTTGACATGAACAGGCCTGCTGTTGAGCTCTAGAGCCGTGAAGCCTCCATTGTCCAGCGTGACTGTCTCCTCCACCGTGGACACAGCTTTACCTACAGCAGTCAGCATATCATCATCACAGCAAAAACATCACCTGGGTCAAATTTTTAATCGCTGTTTGCTGGACGGCGTGGGAGTCTGAGTGGGTGGATGTGTTTATCTGGATGAATATGTATGCAAATTTACAGCATAAAATGATTATGTGAGGGAGGATGGATGCGTCATGAGAAGGCTGAAGAGGTTTAGTTCAGGTCACCTGTTCCACAGCTCTTGTACTTCCTGTTCTGTCCGTGCAAGACGAGACCAAAAACCACCAGCAACAGCAGAATCAGGCCACACAACGCCAACACGATGAGAAACCACCACTCCTCATAAAACGGGGTGTCCTGTTGGGCTGTTTATGACAAAGAGAAATAGAATATAAAGAAATACAGAAATGTACATTGTTTACATTTTTGCAGATTTTGGGCATTCAGACTTGAAAGATTTCAATGAAATCATGTAGTGTGTGGTGGGCACAGAAGCTTGATGATTCCATCCAATCTGAGGATATCAAACATGTCTGATATTTTGAGCAAATTTTAGAACACATGTTGCTTTCATTTGTTTTAATTTAAGTGAACAGCCTTAAATAAGGTTGTAAACAGGGTCTAAAGGTTTTAAGCTTGTCCACTTTTGACCACTTCCTGAAGTATTTCAAAACGCTGTATTATTCGACTGCATTGCTTTTGTTGCGTAGGCATTCACGTGGTTGAATGAGTTTTTACAGCCACAAAAGACTGCCTACTCACTGTCCACTGACCTAACCTGTGAGCGTAATGGGACGTGTTTTGTGGACACGCACCAAAACCAAGATTTCAACTTTGCTATTTTGGGCCAAAAGCACACCGATTGAAATTGTGGTTACCATTTGTATCCTTTCCATTCCCTTCCTTTCCCACTCGCTTGTAAGCAGTGTAATGGCTTCATTTATTCAATTGTACTTGTGTGCCGCACTTGGCGCTCCAGTGAAAGTGATGTAGAGCTTGACGAAATTAGAGGGGACAGAATCCAAACACAAATAGTCACAGGAGATGCTTTTAAAACAGTGGTTTTCAAACTTTTTAAAGAGCTTTTTTCTTTTTTAAATTGAAGCGACCCATATATATGTATATGATAGGAGAGTGAAGAGCTGACAGGAAGCGAAGTGGGAGAGAGAGGGGGATGGGATCGGGAAAGGAACTCGAACTGGGATTCGAACTCGGGACACCTCTTAGCTCAACGGCGCTGTATGTTGGCATGCTGACCAGAAGGCTATCGGCGCTGGCAAAAAACTAAAATTTTATTCAAATTCTGAATGGATTATATATAGCCAAGAAAGCGCGCAAAGAGCGCTCCCTTAATAACCACTGAAAAAACGTCACTGATTTGAGTTTATCGCAAAAAAATTCCATTATAATCAATGATTCTCTCTACACGGTGCAATACATCTTTTATTTACATCGCGTCTACACTTTGTTTATTATAATGAGAGGATTAGCTTGCAGAACTCAGGACTGAACAAAAACGTTTTGAGTGGTGAGTGGATTCTGAGTAACTAAAACTGATTGGCCACCGCGTTAAAAAAAAATCAACAGATATATCTGCATTGGCTACAATGTTCAACGCTGCAAAAAAACTTTGTAAATAGAAACCTTTGATGCTGTCCAGAGCGCAAACACAGAGAGACAGATGCACACTGGAGTCTGCCGTAAGGCTGCTGCTTACTTTCATTTTATCCTTTATTTTGTTTTGTTCCTGGTCCCGTTTTTTGGGACCCAGGGTTTGAAAACCACTGTTTTAAAACACATGTTAAGACCAGGTGTAAACAGTAATGCGTCTTGGTTCACCTCTTCTGATCGGATCACTAAAAATGCATCTTAATACCAGGCGTAAACAGGGCGTTAGAAATGTAACTGATAATCCTTTATATTACTAAAATTGAATTTAATAGTAATAGTGATAGTCCCCAACTTAGGAAGATGTTTTCTTACTTGAGAGAAGCAGAAGTGATCGTCTACCATATTTAGAGCAGCAGTGATGCA